TCTCCCAGCTTCACCACACATGCAAGAAGCATCCCAGCGGACATCAAAGCCGCGCAATGGCCACATTTGGGCTCATAACCTGTGATTCACCAAGTTCTGCCCACACACCGCCCAAGCTGCATAGCTACGAGCACAGCTACCAGACATGGGGGCACGCACCGGGGCAACCGGCTCTTAAGGGCTCCAGCTATTCACACGCAGTTTCAACCCCTTTTTTTAGGTCTTTTTTGTCGCTTGTCGCTTGGCTGGAAAAAAACAAAGGTGTCCTTTGTTCAAGAGTGAGGACAGAGTGCAATGCATTTTTGCTGGCCCATCCCCCTTTGCAAGCAGCACGCTTCCTTTTACGCATTGTTCGTGAGATGATACTGAGAGCTGTTGGCTGTTGGCTGTCACTCTAACACCAACAAGCCCTTGTGGCCTCTTCTCTCTCTCGGCGGAGCTTCTCAGTGGCCAGGAACACTCGCTGCAATTCCTCCTGACAAACTGGATCTGACCAAGTGCTCCGCTAATGGACAGCAGTAGTTGGGGGTGGCAGCCGCCCCTCCACTTGGGGTTCATACCCCCTTCAAACTTTGAGTACGGCACAAAAGGTATATGCAAACACTTGCAAAAGCTTTATAATATATATATATATATATTATTTATTTATACTGTCAACATGCCATGGTGGGCTGCACTTGTTCTTGGATTCTGTACATAGTGCTTTAAGAAGCCCGAGATGCGACATGCCTGTCTGTCACTCCAACTTGTTGCAATTTTGCTCGGATACACAAAGTGTATGAGGGTCTACATTCTACATAATATTACATAATATGGTTGCTCTTCCATACAAGGTTTCTTTTCTTAGAAGCCTCCTCAATGTGCAGTCAATCTCATGTTCAGAATATGAACTGCTCACAGGAAAGGTCATTCCGATAGTGATTAACCCTATCCTGGGATCAAACAAAAAATTGCTTTGTCGATGCCTGCAGCGAGACGCCGACCGTGTTTGCACCCTGACACAAGAGATGTCCACACAAATTTGGATTGGACGACCACCCGCAGTCTATGCAGAGATGAAATCAAAACAAGTGCATGTCAGGATGCTCGCAAGTCAAAGTCGAGTCTTGTCTAGCCTGTATGCAGCTCACAAGGTTTTAGCTCTCGTTTGCAGCATGAGCACTCATTGCTTGCCAACCCCAAGAACAACTTGCACCTTTGATACTTGATACCCGAACATTCCAATAGGACAGTCGCAAACCCAGCTGCTCTGGTCAGCCTTTGTGCTTACCTCCAGCTGTTGCAAAGTGCACCTGGTGTTGCCCGAAGTTTCAGCTGCCATGGTTTGAGTCTTTGCCAACATGTCTCATCCACAAAAGTATGCCACCTGTGCTCATGTTGAATCACCAAAACCACTAGCCATCAGTGTGAAACAAGTTAGCAGAAGTATTGGCAACAGCAACGCTGGATGGCAAGCATACAGAGAGTTTCAATCGGTACTGTGCATGATCCTTAGCAAGTAGCATGCCATTAAACGGGCCTTTGCATCCCAAAGTGGCCAGAACCGAGTTGGAAACTCATCTTTACTCACAAAGACTCACTTGTAGAAAGCACTCTTGGCCTCAATTGTCGGACCGACTCTCCCAAAACCTGCCAGATGCAGCTTGGGTGGCCGGCTGCACCAGAATGGTTTTCATGAAAAAAGACGCTCGCTCGGCACGTTCATTCTCTAAGGTCAAGATATAGATCCTGGGCGCAATGATCCTTCCAAATGCAACAGCAAGGGTACGAGACGCGTGACTTGGGAAGCCTTGAGGCGCTGCTGCCAACGTTCAAGGTCCTGCACGCCCACCAGAAAACGCATCTGGACCATACATTGGAGAGGTTGGCAGGATGTGTTTGATTCCCAAATCTGGACAGACCATCTCTTTTGTGCAGAAATCCGAAGATGTGATGGATGAAAGGTGAGCATCTGCTTTGAGTGGATTAGCCACCAATGAGGAGCCATGGTTGTCGGTGTCCTCATTTTGAGAACTTCGACACCGTCAAAAGGCCAAAATAAGGTCAGTGACTCTGCAAACACTCTATAGTTAGAATGGATGCCTTGGTTGGTTTGCAACTTCACCCTGTCGCAACATATTTGTATCTTGTGAAACTTCTTGCCAGTACAAAGTCGTTCAAATTCGAGCACATGCCCTTCTTCCACCTTCGCAGCAGTGCAGTCTACCAAGCTGGAAAGCCTTGCAAGGGCCTCTTTCTGCCTGTCCACTCGCAACAATGGATTTGATCCGACCCCGCACATGGGAATAATTGATATTTTTGTGGGCATCGGCAAGTGATCAGGAAGACTGCATGAGTAATTCTTGACCTGTCAATGGCCTTTTAGTGTCTCACAAGCCCGACTTGATGCATGTGACATGAATTAGTACACACCTGATATCCAGGGTCTCCGTCAGCTCTTGAGCACAACGCTTCTTCAGCTGCGCAGCCTGTACACAAGGCGCAATGTGCTTTAGGATGATCGTGGCCCACACCTTTTGCCTCCCCGAAACTCTTCGCAAGGTCCAACACATCCTGACAGGCCCTTGCGGTTTAATCTCAGTTTGATTCATTGTCAATTGCTGCCTAGTTGCAAACACTTTACAAAGTGAATAGGGACATCCCGATCCTTGGAGGACTTGACGCTCTTGAATGCCTAGTATGTGCAAGCAAGCTTTGGCTGCACCGGCGCATTGAAACTTCCTTTGTTCGGTCCATCCCATCTTTAAAGGCAGAGCCTCGGATCTTGAGAACTGATACGGTAAAGGGTGCTTTGAACTTTGGCAGGGCAGACCTCTTTCGAGAAAAAGGACCGTCTCAGCAAGCCAATAGCTAGCCTGAAGCTGGCTTTCAGCTTCTACCTTCTCCTGCCATTGTGCCTCTGAGCGTACCTGAAAGACTGGGAAGGATGGTGATGCGTGTGCATTCAGTGCGTTTCGCTCTCAAAATCCGTAAGTCGGATGGAACCGTTCTCTGCCCTGCCTTCATTTGCCGCAGCCGTTCCAGGGCCTCTTTTGCCAGCACGTCCTGTTCAGATCAATGAAACTCAAACGAGTTGTATTGAAGAGAAGATTTACAGAGTTGCTGGATGATGGCTGGTTTCAGGACCACTTTCCATGGCCTCGGCTATGTCTGAAAGAATAACAAGAAGCTGTGATGATCGAAGAACAAACACAAAATGCCAAAATGTAGGCACACGTTTATCCCTTCATGCATTGTCAAAAAGGAGGATAACAGGTCATGTGGGTCATTTGGGCCATTGGGTCATTTGGCATATCCCAACGCAGTCTCCCCCGCTGCTTCGATCGCCTCCTGCTGCACCTCGCGCTTTTGCCGCTGGGCTTCTTCAAGGCGGTGGGCCTCTTGGAGGAGCTCCTGTCAAGCGAAGAGGGTGGAGGAAAGCCTAGTAGCTTCTTGTTACTAGTAGCGATGCCAGGAGCCTAGTAGCGTCCTTGCTCCTAGTAGCGATGCCAGGAGCCCCCAGTAGCGTCCTTGCTCCTACCAGCGATGCCAGGAGCCCCTAGTAGCGTCCTTGCTCCTAGTAGCGATGCCAGGAGCCCCCAGTAGGGTCCTTGCTCCTAGTAGCGATGCCAGGAGCCCCTAGTAGCTTCTTGTTACTAGTAGCGATGCCAGGAGCCCCTACATAGTCGCGTCCTTGCTCCTAGTAGGGATGCCCTTTGCTCCTAGTAGCGTCCTTTGTTCAGGGCTGATTAAAAAGGCCTTCTTGATAAAGGTGCGGTCGAAAGAAGTTGAATTCGTTCTTGGAGCAACCATCCATCAGGTATTGAATGAGTATGCTCTGCCACAAGCATCGCAGCCAAAAGATCTACACCCGAGCAGTCAGCCCCCCCAGCCCCCGTCTAGTCGGCACCCTGTTGATTTTTGGAACACATGAAATGGATCATTTTGGAACACTGATTCAACAAAAATGTCCTTGAAACCGCAGTCTTGCAACACTTTGGAGATCATTTGAAACATAGACCCGTTCCCACCCCCGCCGTGGTTTAAAGAACGATTTGGTGTACACACCACTTGCACCGCACCGGGTAGTGGAGGTGGTGGGTAAGGGGGGTTGAACTTTTTGCCACCAACCAACTGCTGATTTATGTAAGTGGATCACGCACGCGGGCTGGAAACCCTGAAACCATGGAAATCGTAAGACTGGCTGGAAACCCTTGAGTTACAAAGAAAATCAAAAAAACAAAGTAGAATGAGTAGAAAATGATGCCTTCGAAAACGATCAGCCAACGAGAGAGAGGGATTGCACGAAATGCACAGGGAAGCACAACTGCGCGTTCCGAACGATCCACATGTCGCGTTCCGAAAGGGTCCGAAAAATTTGAGGCGGCGACTCTCCTCATGGCCAATCTGCAACTGTTGCTGAGCCACATCCAAGCGCTCTTTGTGTTGAGCAACCTGCCGTGGTCCAGGAGAAAGCATGGTGTCAAGTCTTTGCTGAACCGGTATGGCAAACCGCCTCAATAGCACCACAAAGAAAAGACCCAACAGAAATCCCCAACATCTGGGCATCAAAATCCGCCCTGCTAGGCAGCGGCAACGTCGCAAGTTTACAAGTATCGTGTCTTTGCCAGCAACGCACGCTGTCAAAGCCTGAGCCGCCATGTGAGTGCACCCTCACAGGAATGCGTCGGCATAGCACGTGCGAGCACGACAACACCACTGCAAGCAAGAACAAGCAAGCCTGGTCCGGAACCCACTCTGGAACCTGCCAGCAAGTCAGCGCGACAGCATGACCCGACTTAAGCATCTCAGCGTGACAACATGTCAGCATGTTTGCGTGACACATGCCACCGCGCCAGCATGACAACCTTAACAGCCTTAACAAGCGTATCAGCGTGACAACGCGAATCTTGTCAGCGAATCGGCGCGGCAACACCTCAGCGCGTCAGAGAGACATCTGCAATGTGCTCCGGAACTTGCTCCGGACCTTCCACCAGAACCACCTCCGGAAGCTCCAGAACCTCCTCTGCAAACTCTCCCCTAAGCTTCGCTTTTGGGGGAAATCTTTGGTTGCAGCGTGCCTGCTGAACTTAATCAATCTAAACCCCAGTAAGACTGCCTGGAAAATGTGAAACTGCGGCAGCCCATAACCTTGCTGTGGAATCTCTGCCAAAAGAGACGAGAACTCGCCACTCTGACATTGATATTCAGGAATTTGCACCCTAAGCATTCACCTGCAATGTCAGGTTTCAATTGCCTCTCTTCTTTTGCCATCAAGCAAGCTCTTGCAAACACTTCAGTGCCTGTTTTTGGGTATTACCCAGCTCCTCCTGGCAAACGCAGTATGAACACAGCAACTTGTTGCCCTGCAGTGTTATATATATATATATATGTTTTGATATCTATACAAGTTATATATATATTATACACATCTGGAATGTGGATGATGTCGTCATCTCTGGCCTTGGAACATCACCCCCAGCTATCAAGTAGTTCGCAAAACATGGTAGCTCTTGCACCCTCGGAGTCTGCGTCCCATCGCCCTTGCAACGTTTGTCCACCAAACCAATCCCTGATTCCAAACTGGTTGGGACTTTGCACAGCTCCTGAACACTTTGTAAGCGCTTTTCTGCTGCAATCCGCTGGCGGCCTGTCGACATGACGACAGGAACGCGCGCGCACAGACAATCCTTCCTCCAAATTGCCACGCATCATCAATACGCGCTGCACTGCAAATTGGTTGAATGCTTCTAAATTCCGTCCAAGAGACAAAGGTCAAGGTCAAACATTTGCATCAAACGCGCCTGCATCTTGGACACGCATCTCCAACTGACGCAGGTCCCCGCGGCGCTGGCGATCACGCTGGTAATCTGGCGTCAGATGAGCAAGAGACCACGACTTACTGTTCATACTGTTGTTTCCTTTCCTTGTTTGGACCCTTAGACCTTCTGTTTTTCGTTTGTAATAACAAGCTTCGAAAAGTGCCCTGCTTCAGGATCATATCTCTAGAAGCTCGTTGATGAAAGGAGGCCGAGGTGCGATTGTCGGCTCGACAACGGAGCCTGGCCCCTGGATCTAAACGCTTGCACTCGAAGCAGCCTGTTTCTCCAAAGGCGTCGAATGACGTCATGTGCCCACCCTTCTAGTGCATTGGAGGTTAAATGGCAACAGGATCATGGCATGAAGTGGCATGACTGAACATGAAAATCTCACTGGTATTGTTTTCTTTTGCCTTTGACCTCCATGCGGTGGTGTCTTCATCACCGGGGTCTCGGGCTTCTATCAAGCTGACCCGTGGATCTTCCATCCAGGTCCTCAGCTGACTCTCAGCTGCCTGTTGCGCTTTGTTAGCGCGTCGGCTAGCATGGCTTCCGTGGGGACCCATCTCAAGCTGCGGCATGTCTGTCGCAAAGCAGCCACATCTATCTCCAGAAGGAGGTTGCCAGTCTGTGGATCGCATCGTAGAGCGATCTGGCATCTGTCACCGGCCAGATGGCGAAAGGTGACTTCGCTGAGTGGGAGGCGATGTAGGTGCCGTTGGCCATCTCGCCGAGCATGCAACCCGCGAAGTTGGCGTAGTCCTCGGACTTGTCCAGAGAAGCGGCCTCTGCGGCCAGGGTCGACCGAAGGACTCTCTGGTGCCGGTATGATTTCCAGTCGAGCAAACTGGCATCAGTCTGCTGGGTCAGGGCCTCAGGTGTGCTTGCAAGCACGATGTAGCCTCCCTGGCTCTTTCCTCCAGGGGCGTTGGCGAACGCTGAATCGCCGAATGCGATGAGCACCAGCTTCTCCATGTCAATCGGCTTGATCGTCACCGCCGTGTTCGCCGTCGCCTTGACGTACTTGAGCACGGAGTTGGCTTCAGCAAGATCACCATATGTTAGTTCGCTGTGACCTTTTTGCAGCAGGGAAGTGTCCGCCGCGATGTCGGGTCGAGTGGTGCCTGACATCCACTGCAAGGATCCTGCGGCGCCTCTGAACTCCGAGATCGCATCTCGGTCTGAGCCCATCTTGGCCTCATGGTCTTGTTTGACCTTGGCGATGATCACGTCAGTGGCGTGGTGGCTCTGGCTCAAGGTGATGTTGCCGTTGTCATGGCGAACTATTCGCCGTGCAACAAAAACAAAATCATTGACCTCCCAGGGACCGCCCCAACTGAAGGACTTTTCAACCTCATTGAGGATGCCCTCTTGGAGCGAAGCGGCCAAAATGTCATCCACATGGATGCCCAGGACAGCTTTGACCTCTCCGTTGACCTTCTTCAGGAAAATGCAAGGGTCAAGGGAGCGTTGCACCCACTTCAACTTGTTGACCATGACATCAAGCACATGCAAAAACCATTGCCGTGGTGCGTTTGCCTGGCCATAAACTGGGGCATGGAGCACGTACAAAGCGTCAGGCTCTTCAGCCCATTCAGGCACTGCTTCTCGAGAGACTCCATCTTGGGGCACACGCATGTAGATCTTCTCTGGCCTCTCGTGGTCGGGCTTGCCCTGCAGGAAGGCTGACTTACAGTCTCCATTCACAATGTCCACCTGGTGTGAGCATGCCCACTGAAGGATGCACATGAGCCCAATGCGGGACAAAACAGGAGCATCTCGTGAGAGAAGTGGAAGGTGAGGATCACGGAATCCTTGGATCACGATGCGGGCTTTTGCTTTGAAAGATGCACCTCCATCAATCGGCTTCCACCGAAAACATACTTGAGCAGGCAAGATGAGGTGCTTGGCGATGCTTTTGGTGTCGCCAGTGAACTTCTCGCATGAAGCCCATTTCTTCCATTCGCTCCACTCCTTGCGCATGGACTCCACAAAGGCTTCCCAGTCTGAAGCGCCGATGGAGCGCCAAGGGAGCTCGCGCTTGAGGGCTTGTCGTTGCGTCCTCTTGAGACCAGCATCTTCTTCATCGGAGGTCTCAGGAAACACTTGGTGGCCTCCGGTGGTGGACATGTACACCTCAAAGGTCGTGATGTGGTTGTTGTGGTCATTCTTGGTGTTGTCCAAGTGTTCATGCCATTCTGCCACGTTGCAAGCTAAAGCAAAATGCTGCTTGCCGTCAAAAAGGGACTGGTGTTCTTTGGGAGAGCCATCCCAACCAGTCTTGAGAGCATCTTCACGGCCATGCCGAAGAAGCCAAACTGCTTCAGGGTTGTAGTGCTGGTATTGCTTTCTTTGTCGTCGAAGCGCTCGTGGGCTAAGTCGGCGACGACCTGGCTTGCTGGTGTGGTAGAGGACAACCTTCTTGGTGAAGTTCTGGTCCTCAATCTCGTCGTTGACGTAGCCAGCCAAAGTCAGCCATGTCCAGGTCTTCTTCTGAGGTTCCCAAGCAGCTATGCTCTTCAGAGTTGTGCTGGTGGTGCTGCTTGGAATGTCATCGCCGGAAATGCGATGGACCTCATCAGTCTTCCATGCTTCAACTTGCCAAACTTGTTCAAGTTCACGTTGACTTGGCAGGTGAAGTGCGTCGGCGGCGGCATGGTCGGAAGGTCTCCAACTGCAAGTCCTGGCATCAAAGTCCAGGTTGTTGAGCTGCACTTCAAAAGGGTGGTTGGTGAATTCCGTATTCATGCATTTGCTGCACTGTGGCTTGCCGGTGTTCGTCTCATCGTTGATCTCCTTCTCATGGCAGCCACAAAAAGTGCAGAGAGACTGGGCGTCGATGGTGTCACACATGCCATCGGCCTCAAGTGAAACATTCAAGGCCTCATCGTCTGGTACTGCAGGTAGTTCATCTCGAATGCCCGGCATGGAACCAGTTTCGGCCATAACTGCATCTTCAGGGACTGGTCTCAGTCCAGTTGAAGTCTGCCTCGTCATAGCTGACACTTGTCGTGAAAAATCAGCAGGCGAAGGCATAGGTGCTGAGCTTGAGGCTTCTGAAGTCTTGAGCCTCTTGCTATCAGGCGCTGAACCTTGGGAAACCACTGAAGCCCTCCGGGATGTAGCCGGCGTCGCCCTCGGCGATGAAGGTGCCAGCAAGAGTGGTAGCGGAGCTGTTGCCCAAGGGATTCTCTGCGGGGTCCAGAGGTACGTCAGCAGGAACTTCAGGTTCAGCGAGTTTCAGGTGGTGGGTCGACTGACTCACCGGGAGCATCCAGAGGTTGCCTGCCGGGTTTGAGAGGACCTTCAGGAACTTCAGCAGGTGGTTGCTCTGGTAAAAGAGGAAGTCCGGGAGGTGGTGCTGCATCACGAAGGTCATGAGCTGAGGCGTGTTTCTTCTCCAAGTCTTGCTCAGCGGACCTCAGAAGGTTGAAATCCTTCTCGTCTGGGAGCCAAAATTTCGTCTCCTTGGAGGCGTCGAACCTGTTCTCGGCTCACTTGCACCAGTCGGCCTCTGTCGTTGCGAAGCCATATAACTTCCATTGATGGTCCTTGGCCAAGATCAGCCCTTGACGATAGCCAGGTTGAGATCCTTCGCCGTCCAAGGCATTGCGAAGGCGGTAGTAGACGACTTTCTGGCCGATCTCATAGGGGCCTCTCCATGGTCGTGAGCGACGAAGCATGCTCTGCCTCAAAGCGTTCTCATTCTCGAAGGACAGGAAGGCGTGCATCGCGTCAAAGCGAAGGTTCTCGATCTGCTGCAGCTTGTTGGACAGCGTGAGTCGCTCCATTGCTTCAGGATTGTCTCCCTCGGAGAGCACTGCTGCAGGTAGTCGAGGATTTTGGCCAAGTGCCCATTGAGCAGGTGAACTTCCAGCTCGCCTCGCAAGGGTGTTCTTGGCGAAGCAAGCCATCACAGCGCCGGTCTGCGTGTCCTCGGCGCCAAGTAGACCACGTTGGTCGACCAGCTTGTTCAGGATGGCTCTTGCAGCATCTCCATGTCGCTCGCACTTGCCCATCTGCCAATGAGCGTCCGGAGGGGCAAAGCGAACCATGATGTTGCTCTGGGCCATGAGCTCGTCGAAGGCGAAGCTCTTCATAGCACCCTCAGCGTCCACCAAGAGAGTCTCTGGTAGACCATAGTGCTGAAACCATCCTTTCACAAGCGCTGAGGTGATGGTGCTGGAGTTGCGGTCGTTGACCAAGGTGAGTACCTGAACAGTTGTTGCATCGTCAACTTGGTTCAGGAAGGCAAAGGTCTCACCTGAGGAATCCTTGGTGTAGAGCAGATCCAGCATCACACGCTCATTGAACCGTCTGGTAGGTGGTGGTGTCTTTGAAGGTCGAGGTTCTCGAGGTGGTTTGCTGCGTTCACAAACGGCACAACGCAAAGCACGTGCACCGATCAGGGCAGCTGGGCTCGCCTGAGCCTGTGACAACATACGAATGAGTGTTGCCGAAGATGGATGCCCCAGGTTGGAGTGAATGCGCTTCAACACGTTTTGCATTTATCGTGGAACCTGATCTTCAGACAAACCAGGAAAGAGACGTCGGCAGCTCCTGGTTCCCAGGGTTTCATAGTTTGCTCTGGCTCAACTGCCACCGGAGTTGGCGGTGAAGTCAACTTGGACAAAGTTCTCCTCTGAGCTGAGGTCTCCACTGCCATGGGCTTGCCATAGATGAAGATGGCGACACGCACGCTTCGCTCGAACCTGGAGTTCGGGTTAGTGAGGTCCTCCAAGGCCTGACTCTCAACCTCGATGGTGTTGTCGTGGTAGAGGAGTGCTGCACCTCGATGAGTGATGTCGGGCACATTCAGCATCCTTTGAGTTGGAAGTCCACGTGTCTTTGGTGTCCGGTAGAAAGCTTTCACCTGTTCCAGGAAGGCGGAGGGTTTGATCTCCGCTGCAACTGCCACCTTTCCCTCAAGGCGTTCTGCCGCCTCTTTCAACAAAGGTCGCCAGCTGTCAGGGTCCTTCTGCAAGCTGACGTGGTCATCTTCGAGCATAGGGCCAGGTCCAGGTGTAGAAGGAGCCGGCCATGCTGGAGTT